GTTAATGTGGAATTATGTGCTCCAAGGTGTTATGTGTTATGTGAAAAATGTTTTACAGGGTGGAGTAAATCTTACCAGCTGTTGTATGCTGAATTTGCCCCCCCCCCCCCCCCCCCCTTAGTTATTTTACAGGTAATGTGGCACGAGTATCTGGAGCATGAGAGCGATTCATCTTTTAGAACTTTGAAGTTTTATATTATTTTAGAAAAATCTAGAAGTGAATTCTTGGACAATTGTATTCAATGCATTGTAATAGAACAAATTATGGGTTGTTTTTAGTAGTATTGTTTTTAGCCTGTGCGTTTAGATATATGTTGTTATCTAAACGTGGCGGTAGCATCCCTTTTTCCTTTTGTTTTGTTTAGCTTCCGCAATTAAATAACCAAATTTTAATCAAATAAATGCCTTTTAATAAACTAATTTGGTTTTGGAAAATGGGGGTGTTACAATAAATGTTGGAACTTGGTATAAGGTTGGATCATGGATGTACTCGCTGTTGATTGCTTGTTGTTATTGATTGTTGTTGAGCCCCATTGTTGCCATTGTTTGTTATTATTGAGCTTTGTTATTATCTTATCTTGCGAGCTTAGGATGCATGCTAGTATCTTCATGGTGTTCATAGTGTCAACCTGTTGTGGTGTCTTGAGCCTTGATCTTGGTTTTAAAGCTAGAGTTTTCTTAGGAATATATATGTATCCCAGTCTCAAAATGGTTTTCTTATATCTACCTATATTGTACTCAACGCGTGGGAGTGGGTTACCAGCATTATTCGCTGACGGTTGTTACACCATATATTTTTCAGGTGCAGATCAGTAACTTCGGGGTGCGCTAGATGGACACAAGGACCTAGCATAGATAGTTTTAGTCTTGGTAGATGGCCTGCATGCCTTGATTTGTATTTTAGATATTAAACTTGGATTATGTTCTCTTTAGTTAGTTAGCCTGTGCATCTAAGTTCTCAAGCTTAGATGTGGCATAGCACTCCGACTTTTTATTGTGTAGTCTCTGCTCTATTTGGGATATTAATGTTAGATTACCTTTATTTCATAAGTTTAAAAGTTTTAAAAATTTGGGGTGTTACATGTAAGCTAGAATGTAGAGAGAGGTAGTAGGGTTGAAATGTTTGGAAATTCTTTTGACTATGGTAGGGTTTCTAAGGGAAAAATCTGAAAAGTTAGAAGTGGGGTCCCTTTATTAAATTTTAAAAAGGCTAGAAAGGCTTTGTTTTAAATAAAAGGGTACAAGGTCCAAAGTTATTAGGTCAACGTCAAACACTTTGACCATATTAATAGATTAAGGAATTTGGGTCAAACTATGTTCCCTTAACTACATTTAATGGGATTGTAAATAAAATGGTAAGACAATTAGGGATTAATTAAGTAATTAATTCGGGCTTTAAGGAATTAATTTCCGGGGTGTCACACTCTCCCCCCTAACAAGAAGCTTCGTCCTCAAAGCTTAGGTGCAATGAGGTTTAGGTAAGATCAACAATTTGAACTGTAAGGTTGTGTTGTTGCTTAGGTGCGTGGTTTTCCTTCTTATGGTGCGTGATTTTTCCTTTTAAGGTGCGTGGTTTGTATGTTTAAGATGCATCAGTGTTGAAACTTAAGGTGCGTTGTAACACTCCCTAAAAATATGCTATTTAAAAGCCTTAAACATGCAGATAACTGAACTAAACAACAAACACAACGGAAGTCTGGAAGATAGGTAGATAAACATAATCCGAAACACGGGGTGTTATGCCACGTTCACCAAAAGGATGAACGCTACGACAACATCTGCAATGTTTACATCTAAACCCATAGTCTCAAAGTGCTATATCTAAACTGGCACACAGGCCACAAAACAAAGAGGAGAAGCTATACTAGCAAGCACTAGACCGCGCACTCGTCTAGACATCACCTGAAAGAACACAATAAAACATGGGACGACGCCCGGTCAGCGAATAATGCTGGTAACCCACCAATACATGTGAAATAACATACATAAGTAAGATATAAGTTGTAAAGCCATTTTCGAAACGGAATACATATATATAAGTACAAACCAAGAGTAATAGTCAACACAAGACTCAACACTCTCAATAAGAATACGGGAACACATCCCAAAACCCACAAAGGATAACCACAACACAAAGGATAAGGACAAGACCGATGGCAACACATGCCCTTGTGACTACACATGTCACAAGAAGAGAACTCACAACAACGGCTACACAAGCCCTCGTGACATCACCCATCACGAGTTGATATGCCTTCCTTATGCCCGGTTCCAACCTTATGGCTACCCCCAACCTTATGCCTAGTTCCAACCTTTACCTATAGGACCCCTGTACACCAAGTCCAACCTTTTCCCTCCGAGAACCGTCGTCCCATCTCCAACAGATCTCCAACAGAACCACCGATTTCATAGTACACGAGGGTACCGATCACACAAACGGCAACACATGTCACCCAAGAATCACATGAACCTTACACAAAGGTCACAACTCCATAATCACGTCACGGCCACCACGAGGACCGCTGCAATACCTTGGTGACTAGTGTCCCATACCACTAATCGTGCAATCCAGGTAAAGCCACACACACACATCACACCACAACAGGAATCAATCAACGGATCACAACGAAGATATGAAACAATACTCAATCAAGGAATGGACACAGTCCAACAACAACAACGATGAATAACACAAGTTATCATCAACCAATAGGAAGGTACAAACAACACACACATGCTAGCATTTAAACACCAAACTAGCATGCTTATCAAACGGGTAAACCAAAGATAGTTCCGAAGAACACACAAGACTCATCACGGTTCAACGAAACACAAAGTTGAACACTTAGCACGATTCACGACACCAAAACCTACATGGAATCCTACCATATAGTTCTAGACATACGAAACATCAAGAAGACACTCAAATAGTTCCACAAAAGAACATCAGGAAGTCCAAAGACCGAATACCGAGTCAAAAGAATTACGGGGAACAAATTTCCGCCACCATCACAACACGCACCCATGGGTAGGCCCACGAGTAGGCCTCTACCCGCGGTTCTGCCCGCGAGTACAGGCTGCCCAACCTGTGTACCCCGCGGGTGGGCGGCGGGTTGGACCCCTACCCGCCGTTCCGCCCGCAGGTACACCCCTGTACCACAATAAATCCCTTCGCAGATTTTCATTTCCAAACTCAAATTCAAGTCCAAAACATGCCAAATCTCACCAAATACAACAAAATGACTTGAATCAAAGGAAATGCCAAGTAATGACACAAATGAACCCTAAACACAAGCTCTAGATATGCGTTTTCACAAGACAATGCATAAACACTCACATTTCATAGCAAAATCACATGTAGAATCCAAGAAATCACATATAAGTAAGCAAAATAGGTTTTGTAGAGCATGGGTTACCTCTTGTAGACTAAAGACTTCACTTTACACCTCAACAAGCTCCTCTCAAGGCTCACCTTCCAAACCCACTTCAAGAACATACCAAAAGATCATAAAGATCCTATCTTTAAGAAAAGACACCTTAGATAATACTAAAAACACAAGATGAACTTAGATCTTACCCCCCTAGATGCCCAAATATATGAAAGGTTGAATCTTAGAAGCAACTCTTGAAGTTTTGGCAAAGCTTCAACTTGGCTTGGAAGAAAAGCTACCCACCTTTTTAGAGAGAAGGTGGAGCTAGATTTTTAGAAAGTGTAAGGGAAAGAATGAAGGTGGTCTACTAGGTTAGGTTACAATACTAACAACAAATGAAAGGTCAAGAATACCCTTACTAACATAAGGAGGTGTAAGGAACAAGGGAACTCCTTTCAAAGCTCAAGGTACAACTTTGACTTTGGGGTTGACTAGTCAATTACTAGTCCCCAACTATTAAATTTCAGGAATTTAAGGAATTAAATTACAAATTGAAATAGGATTAATTACTTAATTAATCCCTTAATTGAATTTGGATTTCGGGGTGTCGCATGCGTCAACCTAAAGCTTAAGGTCCGTGAACCTAAAGTTTAAGGTGTGTGATTTTACTTCTTATGGTGCGTTGTTTTGCTTCTTAAGGTGCGTGATTTGTATGCTTAAGGTGCGTGAGTTGTTGAAAATTAAGCTGCGCCATTTTAAAACCTTAGGTGCGTGGTTTGTGTTCTTAAGGTGCGTGGTTTGTGTACTAAGGTGCATCAGCCTAAAGCTTTAGGTGCACGTGGTTTGTGTTCATAATGTGCTTTGTTTGTGTGTTTAAGGTGCATGATTTGTGTACTTAAGGTGCGCCATTTTAATGTTTAAGGTGCGTCAACCACACAAGTCACAACCGCACGGGAAGCTATACTCGCACCTGAATCCTTCCTTATATATATATATATATATATATATATATATATATATATATATATATATATATATATATATATATATATATATATACTCTACGTGAGGGACAAAGAAAGAAGAATAAGGAATTCAAATGTTGAATTGACTTTGATAAGAGGTGTGTTTACAAAGCAAAACATCAAAACTATTTATACATTTCAAAAGAGAGAATTGTGCATGTAAAAATGGGAACATGTGCAGTACGTTGGTGATGGATGGTGCGGCATGTAGATGCTACGTGGTTAATGCTGCATGGCGAATGGAAGACTAATTCTTTAAGGATTTGAGGCACCAAAATTATTATTTCCCTACATTCTGCACATTGGATCAAATCTACTGTGGGAATTAACAATTGAAACAGCTGACTAAACTCAAGCACTGCTTGAACTTAGCAATAGGAAGAACCTTAGAACAGTAGGAGGGATCACCGGCCATCAACCTCCTATGCGACTGAAGGAGCATAAGCAACACTAGCATACCTAGCAGGTTTTTTAATTGTCCTCCTAGGACGATCCATAGCAATGGATATATTCTTGTTGTGGCTCGACGAGAGGTGCGGTGCTAGTAGATGCATCATCTTTAGTATTACTATAAGTAGTAGTAATACTATCAATAGGCCTGAACTCAAACTCCACCTTCTCACCAGTACTCTGCGTCTCACCTGTACTGGGAACTTCTCCAGAAGAAAGTAGTGCATTTTCATCAAAAGTGATATCTCGACTCAGAATGATTTTCTGAGAATCCGGAGACCATAGACGATACCTTTTTGATTCAGAAGCATAACCTTGGAAAATGCATTTGACAGCTCTCGGGTTTAATTTACCCGTACTGGAATGAGCATAAGCAGGACATCCAAAAACTCTTAAGATAGAGTAGTCAACATGATTACCTGACCAAACTTCCTCTGGAATTTTGGAATCAAGGGATGAATGTGGAGATCTATTTACCAAATAGCAAGCAGTAGAAACGGCCTCGGCCCAAAAATCACGCTGTTTCTATAACCCAACATTAGAGAGCATACAACGAGCTCTTTCCAATAGAGTCATGTTCAAACGTTCGCCAACACCATTCTGCTGGGGTTTACCAGGAAAGGTCTTGTGCCTGGCGATTCCATTTGCCGCACAAAAGGCATTGAAATCTGACTCACAGAACTCCAATCCATTGTCTGTCCTGAGCTTCTTGACAATTTTACCTGTCTGAGTCTCAACAAGTATTTTCCACTTCTTGAAAATAGAAAATGTCTGCTTTTTATGTTTCAGGAAATAGACCCAGACTTTACGAGAAAAGTCATCAATAATAGACATAAAATATCTACAACCTCCCATAGACTGGAATTTAGTTGGTCCCTATAAATCGGAATGAATGTATTCCAATACATCTTTGGTACGGTGTGTAGCAGTAGAGATACTAACCCTCTTTTGTTTCCCAAAAACACAATGCTCACAAAATTGTAATTTACCCGTACCTGAACCACCAAGGAAGCCTTTCTTGCTCAGGAGATGCATGCCTTTCTCACTCATATGCCCCAGACGCATATGCCATAACTGAGTGAGATCCGCATCAGACATCGATGAGGATACCGCTACTGAACCTGTTACAGTCCTACCGTGCAAGACGTACAAGCTTCTAGAACGAGAAGCTTTCATGAGAAAAAGAGAGCTTTTTATGACTTTCAGAACTCCACCTTCAGCTATGTACTTACACCCTAGAGATTCCAAGGTTCCCAAGGATATCAGATTGCGTTTCAAATCAGGAATATACCAAACATTGGTAATAGTCCTGATAACGTTATCATGAGTTTTAATCTGCACACTTCCAATTCCACTAACCTTGCATTGAGTATCATTACCCAGCAAGACAACTTCGATCACCATCAACCGGTTCTAGAGAGATGAACCAGTCTTTGTGAGGACACATGTGGAATGTACAACCAGAGTCCAGAATCCGCTCGATTTCGCTCCGTTGGCCACCGGAGCTAACAGATAACATAACATCGCCTTCTGAATCACTTTCACCAACACTAGCTTCAGCAGACTTCTTTTCTCTCTCTTGCTTATTTTTCAACTTGAAGCATTCAGTCACATCGTGACCCTGCTTCTTGCAGTACTTAAGGATTTGTTGGACTTACGTCCTCTGCACTTGGATTTAGATTTTTTATTGCTACTCTCAATTTCAAGTGAACGACCCCTTACGGTCAAGCCTTCACCTTTGTCCTCAGACTTAATTTCAAAGTCAAACTTTTCTTTGGACAATAGGTTTGACTTAACACTATCGAAAGTAAGGGTATCACTACTATTACCATACAACATAATTTCTTTGAAATGCTTGTACGATTTAGGGTGAGAGACAAGCAATAAAATAGCACGATCCTCATCTTCAATTATAACATCAATATTTTCCAAGTCCAATAAAATAGAATTGAATTCATCCAAGTGAGATTTAATAGAAGTACCTTGCCTCATACGGATTGTGTAAATACGCTCCTTCAAGCGTAGCGTGTTCGCCAGAGTTTTGGCCATGTAAAGCGTATCCAGCTTGGACCATAAATCTAACACAGTCATCTCACTTACTACCTCACGTAGAACCTTTTTAGACAGGCACAAAAAGAATGGTTGAATGTGCCTTGTCATCCAAATCTTCCCAAGTTTCATCTGTCAGTGTAGCTGGTTTTTTCTTCTTCCCAGCTAGCGATTTCTTCAAACCGTTCTCGGTTATAACGGCTTCCATCTGAACCTTCCAGATAGAAAAGCTAATTTTCCCGTCGAACTTCTCGATATCGAACTTAATAACAGTCGACATCTTTGAAAATAATTTTCAAATAAACAGCTCTGATACCACTTGTTAGGAATATAGCGGAATAATGCGGAATCAAAGAATCGAAAATTGAGAATTATAGAAGTTAAATAATAGGGAAAAATATGTAAATGAAGAAAATTATATAAAATGACAAAAAGAATTAATAAAGTGGGAAAATATATATATATATATATATATATATATATATATATACACTCTACGTGAGGGACAAAGAAAGAAGAATAATGAATTCAAATGTTGAATTGACGTTGATAAGAGGTGTGTTTACAAAGCAAAACATCAAAACTATTTATACATTTCAAAAGAGAGAATTGCGCATGTAAAAATGGGAACATGTGCAGTACGTGGGTGATGGATGGTGCGGCATGCAGATGCTACGTGGTTGATGTTGCATGGCGAATGGAAGACTAATTCTACAAGGATTTGAGGCACCAAAATTATTATTTCCCAACAGATTTGCAAGGATATGCTAACGTGGTTGAATAACAAGGGATTGGGTAATGTACAAGCCAAAATGGACTATCAAATTCTTTACCACACAACATTACGAGGAAACTCAAGGACTTGAATTAGATTTTGTACGTTCACGGTGACGGTAACCTGCCACTTGATGCTATTGGGTATAGCTTGTTCTTTTAAATTCATTCTTGAGTCGGTGAATGAAGTTGCTCATGCTTTAACCAAAGTAGTTAACTTTATCTGATTAACACTTTTGGAATTCATCCCCACCAGGGTGCATCTTACACCTCTTACATTAATAAACTTGAATGTGGTTTGTTTTTTTTTTTTAAAAAAAATAAAAATTAAAGATTTTAAACTTATATTTATTTATAACAAATTAAATTTTCATATTTAAAAAACATTGTATATTATCTTTTGTCATGCATATATATATTTTCAACGAATGCAAATTGCCAAGCACTTTGTGCTCAAATGGCATGTAGTGACATCTCCCATGTAGGAGGTCATGAGATTGAGTCTCAATGGAGACGTTGTTGACTCTGTGTGCTTCTTTAGGTTGAGAGAGTCAGTAGCATTCAAAAAAAAAAAGTACGGAGTAATTATTTTATGGTTGATTCCACCAGAGGTCCCTTGTCTTTGGTGTCAATTCCAAATTTAGTCTCAGACTATCGTTTTTGTCATTTTACATCCCAGACTATTGTTTTGGCCATTTTACATCCTAGACTATCGTTTTTTGGACACTTTTAGTCCTTCTTATGAATTTTTCTATTTTTAGTAAGGACATTTTTGTCTCTTCATATCTTTCTTTTGTTATTTTTCCAGTTGCAACCGGTTTAATTGGTTTAGGACTTTACTAAAAATTAGTTGAAAAATATGGTTACTAAAAATCAGAGGTTACCTAAAGTTCTAAACCAATTAAACCGGTTGAAACCGTAAAAAATAACAAAAGAAAAATATGAAGAGACAAAAATGCCCTTACTAAAAATAGAGAAAGTCATGAGAAGGACTAAAAGTGTCCAAAAAATAATAGTCTGGGATGTAAAATGGCAAAAATGATAGTTTAGGACTAAATTTGGAATTGCCACCAAAGACAAGGGATCTCTAGTGGAATTAACTCTTATTTTATTTACTATGAAATTGCATCGTGAATCTTGAATGCAAGATGTAACTTAGGATTCTACTTGTTTTTATATTAAGTTAACAATCATGTCCATTAATTAGGTAATTTATCAATTCTAAATAATGGAATTTAAAAGCATAAATATAAAACAAGAACACAAGGAAATTTGTTACGCAGTTTGAAGCGCTTCTCCTACGTCTGCGGGGCAACCCACTTCTGTCCAATCCACTATAGATGTTCACCAAGGAGTGTTACAAGAGGTAAGTACAAATGGCTACCAGCCGTTACTACCCCAACCCTTCCTAACACCTACTCAGGACTGAACAGTGCATGCCTTGACAATCTTCAAGTGACGCTTCAGCTGACCTAGGTACAGCCAGTACAGCTTAGAATAAAACCCACATAGAATAATGAAATGAAATAGATTAATATGATAGCACTGTATGGAAATTCTTTTTTCTCAATTTGGCAATTCTCAATGCGCAGCTTTCCATAATGTGATGGCTTATTTTTATAGTAATAGATAATCCACCCACTTGATCCATAATAATAGCATCCTATAATCTTCAATGAACCATAGACACATATTTAATTTGAAAGCCTCACATTGTACGCACTGCTGACTTCCCCTTCTTTAAACAACCAATAAATGATAGCCATTCAAAATTGATGGATATATTATGCTTGGAGCGAACCGACCCGAGGCGACGGACACGGAGTACCTCAGCCCAAGGCACCACGGACCAGGGACACCTCGGCCCAAAGCACCACGGACCCAGGATACCTCGCCCAAGGCACCACGGACTCGGGACACCTCAGCCCAAAGCACCACGTGTGACACCCCGTAAATCCAAACTCTAATTTAGGATTAATTAGAGAATTAATCCTAGTCTTATTGCTAATTTATTCCTAAAATCCTGAATATTAAATAGTCGGAGGACTAGAATTTGACTAGTCAATCTAAGTCAAAGAGTTGTACCTTATGCCTAGTGAGTTGATCACTTGTCTCCTTATTCTTCCAACTTTAGTAAGGGCAAAGGAGTCTTTCTACCTAAAGTTTGTGCTCCAAGCTAACCTAGCATCATCCTTTCATTTCATCCACCAACACTCTAAACACAAAACCTCTATCTTCTCTCTAAGAATTTGGTAGCTTCTTCTTCAAGCCAAAATTTGGGCATTCTAAATCCTACAAGTTGTCTTCCAAGGTTCATACTTTCCTAACCTTGAGCATAAGGGAGGGTAAGATCCTTGATCTCTTGGTGTTTTTAGCATCCTTTTAGTTGTTTTTTTTCTAAAAATAGAATCTTTGTTGCTTTTTGGTATGCTTATGAAGTTGGTGTAGAAGAAGAGCTTTAGGAGAAGCTTTTAAGGGTGAGAAAGTGAAGTTCTATGCTACAAAGGTAACCCATGCTTTACAAAACATATTTTCTTACTTATATGATGATTTTCTTGGCTTCTATTTGTGATTCTTGTGTTGAAATGTGAGATTTGATGCATTGTCTTGTGGTAATGCATGTTTAGAGCTTGTTCTTAGGGTTCTTGTATGCCATTGCTTGGCTATTTCTTGGGTTCAAGTCATATTGTTGTATTGTGTGAGATTTTGGGTGTTTTGGACTTGAATTTGGACTTGTTGTTGAAAATCCCAGAAGGGATTATTTTGGGTTCAGGTCGGTACCCGCGGGCGGAACGACAGGTAGTGCACCACCCGCCGCCCCACCCGCGGGGTACAAGTGGTGTGTGGGCTCGTACCCGCGGGCGGAACCACGGGTGGTTGTCGACCCGTGGCCCCACCCACGGGGAACACATATTGATGTTGTTGGGGATTTGTTCCCCATGATTCTTTTGACTCGGTATTGATGTTTTGAACTCCCGATGTTGTTTTATTGGGCTATTTGAGTGTCTTCTTGATGTTTCGTATGTCTAGAACGGTATGATAGGAATCCATGTAGGATTTGGTGTCTTGAATCGTGCTTGTGGTCCAACTTTGTGATTCGTTGGATTGATGTGAGTCTTGTATGTTCTAAGGAACTACTTTTGGTTTACCCA